TGCTCTGCCCATGTGCCCTATAGCAAATTAAATAATAACAATAGTAAATATAATTAAATAAATAATTATTAAAAAAAAAAAGAAAAACCAGTCTCCTCCCTTGGGATTAGATAAAAATGTCTGCTTTATGTTTAGTTCAGACTGTAAACTCCCAGTGGAAATGCAGTCCTCTCTGGGTTAATCATGTCTCAATAGCCAATGAATGCCAAGTGTATAAAGTCATATAATGATAATCATCTCATTATTTGTAAGGGATAAATTTTCAAAGATGATGATGAATTCCTTACTTGGCTCAGTAGCTTTAGGAGGCCTTTTAGAGACAAATCTGAAGTTCCTTATAAAAGGTTCCAGCAAAGCCAACTAAATCAAAGGATATTCTTATGGGGCTTTGTGCAAAGAACAGACTAAATAGAGACTAAAATTATTTTTTTTTTTTGCAAATAAGTTAGTTTATGCCTCTCTTTAGTAAAAGGGGGGAATGAAGAGAGAAAAAATGTTTCAGAAGAAAATTACAGTATACTCGTTACTAGATTTTAGCTTTGCCCATATCTGGTTTTTGAGTTTTTAGTATCTACCTACTGTTTGAACAGAATCTTAACATTTTCCTGGCTTTAAGTTTTAAGCAAATTTTTCTTTACATTCCTGACTTTGATTTATTAAAGCTAAAACTACTTTTCTTGAAATTAAAAAATCCATAAAACATGAAAAATAAAAAAAATACCTTCTTAATGACTGCAGTAAGTTATATAGGTTCAGCTGGGTGCTACTCACTGAGTTTTATGCCTAAAGTTAGACATGTGCTAACAGATACGTCATATCAACTATACTTACTATTGAAAGTATTTAGTTTAATTAATATCTTTTGTGAATTAATAAAATGTGGGGAAAAAAATACAGAAGACAATTGTGGACATACCAGAAACGGTGTGGGAGAAGGGTGGGAAATGGCAGAGGGTGAGAGGTAGGAAATCAAGGGAAAATAAAGAGAAGTAAAATACATAAGAAACAGGAAATGTAAAATTACTAGTTGAAGATAACATATATGGTAATAACTTTGATTGAGACAAAATACAGTGTATTCTGGATGGGAAAATGCATTGTGTATGCTGCAATGATATACAGTGAATGAATGTAAAATAAATACATTTAAAATTTTTAAAAATTAAAAAAAAAAGATCCCTAGCAGAGGAAAAATACAAAAAAAAAAAAAAAAGATGATGGTAGCTTACTTTCATTGAGCACTTTCAATGTATTAAAGCTTTTTTTGTCACATTTATTTTGTTCAAGCTTTTATTGTCACATTTATTTTTGACCATATTCCTAGCATCATTATCTTCTATTATAGATGAAGGATCTGAGGATCAGATAAGACAACTTGCCCAAGGCCACTTGAACCCAATTCTGTCTCAGTCCTTAATCACCATGGTTTCCCAAAAGAAAGTGCCCTTGGCAAAAAAGAAAAAAAGAAAAAAGAAAAGAAAAGAGAGAGACAGGAAGGCAAGAGTGCTATCTATCACAGAGCTGACTGGTCATCAACAAAAGGTATTTTTCAATTTTCACCTCACCCACAGACCACTGAAAGTCCCTCTGTAAATCAAACATCTACTTTGAGGCATTTTCCTGACCACATTATTATGATAACACGATTTTTGTTGTTTTTTTTCCCCCCCTTTAAATCTCTCCTCATTTCAGAGGAAGTCATGTTCTGCAAAGAAAAGAACTGTGGAAAAGACACACACTATTGGGCTTTCTAATAATAATTTTGCTCTTATAAAGACTGGAGGCAGAAGCTGGCAGGTGGCGTGGTGGTTAAGGGTATTGGACTCACACGGCTAACCACGGTTCTAGTTCTGACCTGGTGGCTTGCTTTCTCACTTTTCTTCTTTCTCTCTCTCTCTCTGCTCCTCTCTGGTCAAATTAAAAATAAATAAAGTTAAATAAAATAATTCTTTTCTTTTTAAAAAAAAAAAAGACCATCTTTGCATTCAGGACAAAAAATATCTAAAATGCAAACTAGGCAGGAAACTCCGCGGATGCAGAGGAAGGAGGCAGTCTGGACACAATCCACCACAAATCTAAAATGTTAGGCCATTAACTGGGGTTCAAATAGATTTCGTGAGCATTCTAAGAAGGAAGGGAAATACTGTTTGAGTGGATATTTTCAACCTTCAAGCACCCAGCTTAGGATTCCTTTATTACACTGTGCCTCTCAGATCCAGGCCTAGCTAAGAAAAATGATTAAAGACAAGCTTCTCCCAAAACTTAGGGCTCAGAGATCACAACAGCTAAATAAGGTCTTCTGTCTTATGAGTGAAGGCTGAATAATGAAGCCTCATTGTTTCACCAAATCACACAGAATTCAGGGTAAGTTATCTTACCGATTTAGGTCACCATTTCACATATCCTTCAGAGACAGACATAAGAAAGTGAATTAAAACTGCATAAGGAATGATTCAGCACCCAAGGGAGAGAAGACCACAGATATTACTAACTAATAGAAATATTGATAGTTGCCATTTAATAAACACTTTCTATTGGGCCACACACTATATTAGGGACTTGACAAGAATTATTTTGACACTCACAAGACCCATGCAGCGTCTTTTAAACACAAAACATTTCTCAAGCTATAGACTTTGAGATATTTTTTAGAGAACAATAAGAGATACTACATTTTAATAAATATGTTTGAGAAATCCTGAGTTAAAAAAAAAAAAACTTTGAATAAAATCACTTGTGATCAACTTTGTCAAAATACACTGGTAATAGTCATCGAGAATCCCTAAAGAAGGGCTCTAGTGTCAAATAGCTAGCCTTTTTCTTTTTAACTTTAGTTTTAATTTTAATTTTTAAAAAATTGTCAAAGGGTATATGTGGTTGCCAGAGAGAGAGGGAGAGAGAACAAGAAAGCATCCCCAATGGGGCATGGTCATATCACAATCCCTTCTCCTGCATTTCTCCATTCTGTCAGAATTTTGGCCACATAAACACATGTGCTCAGAATGTTTTTCACATCACAAGATGAGCACTCTCAGCAGATTTTCAAACCCAAATCATCCCCTTTTCCAGAATTCAAACTATATGGTTGACCATGTGGGATCTGATTCCCTTAACTACCCAATGGGACCGGCTCAGCTCGCCTTTCTACCTGCTTTGCCACAGAACTTTTTCTTGTTCCAAAAACTCATACTCATGGACAGAATTTGTGAAAATCTACACTGTACTAATTTGCTTTGAAATATCCTTTAGAAAAACCTTTTAAAAAGTAAGAGAGCTCACAGAATCACAGAAACAGGATAGCTCAAATCTTCAGTGGCAGGACCAGCAAGTGGTATGGAGGTCAAGGCTCTGGACTCCTATGGCCTACTGCAGCTCAAGTCCCAACATGGTGGTTTGAAAAATCATGCCAGGTGCATGTGTGTGTATGCCCCAAATCCTCAGAGAAGAATGGAGAATAGATTGTGGAATGGTTATTCCCCCAGGGGGTGATTTCTCACTTTCCCTCTCTCTGTCTCTCTCTCCAGTGAGTGCAAGTACCCTATGGCAAAAACCAAAGGGAAAAAAAAAATCTTCAGTGGCTATATGCTCTCCAACATATGAGAATACATTCCTGGTTTGTCCGGGCTGGCGAGTACCCAATAGGTATCCAATTTTACCACCATGCAATTCCTGTATGTTCAAAATTCTTCACTTTCTAGCACATCTTCTTTCTCCTCCAAGTTCCTCCCTGAAGTCAGTTCCTGCTGCCAAAGAAACATTGGAACAAGCCCCATAGTACAACTAAGCATGATCACCAAATATTGCACTGATTCACTGCATAGATCATAGCCAGATTTTACTAACTAAAGGTTGCAATTTGTTGTTCCCCAGTTTCTAGTGCAGCTAGGAGTGAAAAATATTGCAGCAAGGAAATCCTAGACTAAGGATTCTTCATCTACATCCCAAGGGCGTAGCAAAACAACTCCTGTGTCTACCTCGGTGTCTCGGATCCTCTGCTCTTAGATATTTCTTCCTTTTAAAAGTTTATTTATTTATTGAGAGAGCAAGCTAAGTAAGCACTCTCAACAGATTCTCACACCACAATCTTCCCTTCGCTTTCCAGTCAACCAGAATCATAAGCATGTGCGTGTGTGCCCAGTGTGTGCAAGTCAACACAGGAATCAAGCCCCAATCTTCCATATGGCTTCCAGAATTACACAGCATGGCAATACAACTCAGTCATGAAGGTTGGACCTGTCTTGGCATTTCTCACACCTGCTAGCTTTGTATGCATCCAAAGAAGACTCCTAGGGCAGTCACTGGAGAGGTAGGAAGCGATGCTCCCCATGGACCTCTGCAAGTACTCTCTTAAGCTGCTTTGTGATGGCACCAGTAACTTTGAGAAGCAGAGCTGTCATGAATGATGCCTAAGAATTAGGACAGGTTATGTTTCGAAACAGACAGGATGTGCACTGCATCAACCCTAGCATCACAGGCAAAAGAAGACTACAGCCTCCCCCCTGCACCACAGAGTCTTTCTAGGGCCAAAGTGCTTCCCTACACAAAAAAAAGGCAGATATTTCTCCTCTCTGTGGCATAGGTAACTGAAGAAAACAAAAACAAGCATAAAATTGAAACAACTGATATATTACAGTTATTTGAATATGAGAACCTGTGTGTGTGCACAAATATTAATATAATCTTAAATTTGTCGACTGCAAATTCCCAGAGGTTGGGGATTGTCTCATTTATTTCTCTAACCCCTACAGTTCCCAGCTCAGTGATCTACACTTGGTAGAAACTCAGAAAAGGTGAAATGAATAGATAAGGTAGATTATTCCAATCACTATATTTGGGGGGGAAAAGGTAGAAAAATAGTTGTGTAAGAAATAGACTCTTGCCAGTTTCAAATTAGATTTACTGGATAAAATTCAGGAATATTTTATAAAATCCTGCATGGCAATCAGTACCTTGGAAATATAATTCCTACTGGCACTGCTTTGGTACCCAGCTCCCGCGACATGGCTTTCAACTTCGGGGCTCCCTCGAGCGCCTCAGGCACTGCTGCAGCTACCGCAGCTCCTGCGGGTGGGTTTGGAGGATTTGGGACAACATCAACAACTGCAGGTTCTGCGTTCAGCTTTTCCACCCCAGCTAACACAGACACCACTGGACTCTTTGGTGGTACTCAGAACAAAGGTTTTGGATTTGGTACTGCTTTTGGCACAACAACGGGAACTAGTACTGGGTTAGGTACTGGTTTGGGAACTGGACTGGGATTCGGAGGATTTAACACACAGCAGCAGCAGCAGACTAGGTTAGGTGGTCTCTTCAGCCAGCCTACACAAGCTCCTACCCAGTCCAACCAACTGATAAATACTGCAAGTGCTCTTTCTGCTCCAACACTACTGGGAGATGAGAGAAATGCTATTTTGGCAAAATGGAATCAACTGCAGACCTTTTGGGGAACAGGAAAAGGATATATCAACAATAACATTCCACAAGAAAATCCCTTCTGCCGATTTAAGGCAGTAGGCTATAGCTGCTTATGGGCTGGGATGAAGATGGGTTAATAGTTTTAGTTTTCAACAAAAGAGAAACAGATATTCGAAGACAGCAACAGCAATTGGTAGAATCATTGCATAAAGTTTTGGGAGGAATCCAGACCCTCACCGTAAATGTAAAGGGTATTAAAACATTGCCAGGAGACCAGCAGTTAGCATAATGGCTATGTCGCTGAACTCCCCCGTGGTCGACTACGGTTTGAGACCCAGAACTGGTGGCTTAAACTCATTCCGGGCGCATGTGCGTACGTGCCCAAGATCCCGAAAGGAGAATGGAGGAGAAGGGATTACGGCATGGGCATCCCCCTGGGGGGAGATTTCTCGCTTTCTGTCTCTCTGTCTCTCTCTGTCCTTCTGGTGAGTGCACGTACCCTATAGCAAAAACCTCTCCAAAAAAAAAAAAAAAAGGACCAGGGCTTCCTGGACCACAAAAAAAAAAAAAAAAATATTTGCCAGATGACCAGACAGAAGTTGTCATTTATGTTGTTGAGCAATCTCCAAATGGTACTTCAAGAAGAATTCCAGCTACAACACTATGCCCATTTTGAACAAACCAACATAAAAACACAATTGCAGCAGCTCGGCATAACCCTTTCTATGACTACAACAGAACTTTCTCCTGCGCAGATCAAACAACTTTTACAGAATCCTCCTGCTGGTGTTGATCCTGTTATCTGGGAACAAGCCAAAGTGGATAACCCTGATGCTGAAAAGTTAATTCCTGTACCAATGGTGGGTTTCAAAGAACTTCCCCATAGACTGAAGGTGGTTCAAGATCAGATGACTAAGCAGCATCAGACCAGATTAGATACCATATCTGAAGATATTAGTGAGCTACAAAAGAATCAAATCACAACTATGGCCAAAATTGCACAATACAAGAGGAAACTCATGGATCTTTCCCACAGAACCTTACAGGTCCTAATCAAACAGGAAATTCAAAGGAAAAGTGGCTATGCCAATCAGGCTGATGAAGAACAGTTGCGAGTTCAGCCAGATACAATTCAGTGTGAACTGAATGCACCTACCCAGTTCAAGGGCCCACTAAATGAACTGATAGCCCAAATCAGGATGCAGAATAATTTTGGAGCTGTCAAATCTGAAGAAAGATGTTACATAGATGCAGATCTGTTACAAGAAATCAAGCAGCATTTGAAACAATAGCAAGAAGGCCTTAGGTGACACAGCAAATTCCTGATGAATTCAGGCCTAGAAACCAAGACCCTGAGTTTCCAGCTCAATACACCCAGTTCGCTCTCTTCAGAAGTGACCTTCCAGATTTTCCAAACCAAATCAATTCCACCTCTGTTGACATGAGGAGCCCCTCCTAATGGATCAAAGAATCAGCCTCTTGAAACAGGGTTTTCTTTGGTTTGCTTTTTATTTTTCTTGGAAATACATACTTTAACACCATTCCTTTCTGGGGCTTTGGCCGAAAGACTTTTTGCCCCATCCAAGGAGGTATTTATTTATGTCAACAACCAAAAGATTACAGGTCACACTGAGAGCTTTGGAAAGAAGATTTGCTTGATAACCACATGTGGGTAATGAATAGGTAGTAGCTTTAACAGAGAATTAATCCTTCAAGAATCTCAGTTGAACTTGAGTCCATTATCTTTTCTGTTGTTTAGTGAACTTTTACAGGGTTAGCTAAATCACTCACTCATTGGACACATTTTTTAATGTTTTAGCATCATGAAAATGTTGAAACAGGCAACTCAACAGAGTTAATCAAATCAGATTCTCTTAAAACACAGAGTAAAGAAGTTATGGGGAGAAAAAAAACGAAACACTTGATGTGAGACCAGACTCAGCTACCACTGTATCCGTAACAGTAATTTACTTGGTAGTAACTTAAATAACACAGTAACTCACAGAGAACGGTAAGTTGGTGCATGATGGGAACACTGGGTTTAATGAACTCGGTAGATAGGTGTTACTTCTTTTATTTATGTATTTCTTTTATTTGTTTTTCACCAAATAATGTATTAAAATATTTTATTGAAATTGGTTTTTGCCAGAATAAAAACAGTCCTAAAATAATCTATGTAACATTCATTCTTCAGTGAAGAAAAAAAAAATTTTTTTTCTTGAATTATAGTATCTCCTGGCATGAAAGAAGTTATGTCTATTTCTTCAGGGATATATTCCAGTTCTCCAGACTTAAAAGGAATCAACAGGTGGAGGGAAAAGAGAAGTGCATGCCAGAAGTTCCTGTGTCACGCTGAGTGTAATTGCAGCCCTGAGGTCTCTTCCTGTCAGCCTAGCTGACGCAGTGGGACAGGTCTGCTTTGTGTCCACCACTTAATGTCAGCCTACTGGGGCAGGATTCCAGGGGCCAGCAGTTTTATCAGTCAAGAGACCCTTGGGAGAGCTCAGCACTCAAGGATAGGCCGCAAGGGATCAGAACACTATCAACTCCACCCTCTGACTTCTGCTTCCCATTACAACTCCTTTCAGCAGTTTTCTTCCTAGTGGTAGAGCATGTCCCAATTTATTGCTTTATTTGCTTGCTATTGAATTAAGTGGAAAAACCCATCATAAAATCTCCTTAGCAACACTGAAAGGTCATTTATCTCCTCAAATTCTGTTTTCTCATAGCATTCTTTCTATTTAGAAATTTAGAACTTCTCTAGTAGTTGCTTAATAATTCCAGCATTTAGTTTCAGCAGCCTTCTCTACATGAAGCGCCTCTTGGCAATATTCCAAAACCCTTTGTACTCACTAAAAGTAATCCATTTGGGAAAATATTAATACTTTTCTAATAATTCCAAAATTTTTATTTCTGTTGTGAACATGTCCATGGTTAAGCAATTATGAAACATAAATACATGTTTTAAGTATCCAGATCTTCAAGGGTCATTTTGAAGAACTTTTTAGCAGATCTGTATAATTGCCATGGAAGTAGAATACTTTTTCAATCAAATAATATATATAAACTTATTCATATTATAAACTTAAAAAGGGTAATGTTTAGTTTGATAACTACCCACTATTAGAGAGAGTATTATAATTAGTGCCTGTTTAAGGTTCCATTGATTAAAAACTCTGGTACTAAACAACAGTCCAAGTTTTAGTCGTGTAATAAGTTATATGTATTTGTATGCATTTCTTAACATTCCTAGAACCTCCAGTTTTTAATTATATCCTCATTCTTCTTTTTTTAAATGTATTTTTTTTTCTTCCATGAGAGAAAGAAACAGAGAGAGACACATCTTCTCCAGTAGGGTCCTGATGCCATGATCCACTCCCAGCCTCAGTCAGTTCTGGATCATGAACATGCACATGCCTGGCATACTTAGGGAGGTCTCTGGACACAAAACCAAATGGTTCCCATATAGATCAACTTTGCAGAGCATCACGTTGTTCTGCTGTGCCACTGAATGGTCCCTCTGTCTTCTTAATAATACATCTAGTTTGACATTCTGTCTTTAATCCACTACCCATGCTTATGGTTATTCACATGTTTAACTCATTTTGAGATGGTATGGTCACTTCTATATTGTATATAATGTAGTAAGACCCTTAGGGGTCACCGTGGCATGGCATTAACAGATTGTGACTTGTAGCTTGACAGGTTGTATGAACTTTTAGGCAGGGGTCTTCCTCTGGCTCTCCTCTACCGTTCTCCCACTGCGTCTACACCCTGTGAGGATCCTTGTCCAGGTGCCAATGGTCCAGGATATTTCAGGTGCCAGTATGTGGCACGAGTATTTGGCAATCTCTCAGATGAAAGGCAACAAAGCACAGTGGAAGGTGGCTTTGAAGTCAGGCAGACTCAGGTGGGTTTAAATCCTGCTTTGACATTTAATCTCCAAAATAACCTTGGGCAGGTTATATTACAGTTCTCAGGGCTCCTCAGATAAAATCAATCATACAGAGTTATAGTTGGGCTTCACATGGTCGTCTGTACAGAACAGTCACAATGGTAGCAGAGGAGAAAGGATAAAAGGGATGAGTCAAAGATACGGCAGAGAAAGACGGGTACCTTGAATATATTAGTACCAAATCCTGCTGCGAATTTACTCATCATTTAAAATGTACATAATACTACATTTTTATACATCCTCTATTGCTATACAAGTACCCATACACATAGATAAAAAATATATGGTCATCCCTCAGTTTCCAAGGGGATTGGTTCCAGGAACCCTCAGTGACACTAAAATCTTCAGGTGCTCAAGTCCCTCACATAATACAATGCAGTATTTGCTTCTAACGTAAGCATATCCTCCTACATACTATGAATCATGTGTAGATTATTTATAATGCCTAATACTACTGCACTTAATTGTTATACTGTATTGTAGCATACACATAAAGGCATAGCTTCCCAAGGTCCCATTCTGCTCTATTATTTTCTAGTGGCTGAACATGAGGTAAGCTAACCAAAAATCACACTAAGTCTTGGTTTCTTCATAGGCCAAAAAAAAAAGGGGGGGATAATAATTATAACTTCTCGTGGGGTTTTGTAAGAATCAAATCTTTAAAATGAATGAAAACAATGTTTTGCAATATTTGGTTCACAGCAAACACTCAATATTAGATACTTATCCTTTATAGACTGCATCCTAATTTTACTAGCACTAGTAAATATGCGATACCCCCGAGCCCAGAGTCTCTTTCATGGCCCTGTGGGGGTCTCTGTTCTCTTATCTGTGTTCTAACTACTTCCATGAGATTACAGCTATGAGAATAAAAGTAACTACAAAGTGAAAGAAATGTATTTCTATGAAACACTCTGGGAAATATACTCTATTGTTCAACTTTGTAGGTCTTATTTTTAGGCCTTTAAATTATTTCTGCCTTTGAAATACCTAATCCATAAGCCTTGTATTTTAAAGAAAAAGCATACTTCGTTACCTTCTCTACCTGAATAGCTACATTTATTTTTTTTTAACCGAAACAGTTGTAGCTGATGTAAACACTTAGCAATCAAGTACTTTGAAAATGTTTTTTATTTTCATTAAATAATGTTTCTCCTAAAGAGAAATGCTTAATGCCTTCAGCATTACTTTTAGAATGATACATATTTATGATATAGTAGTATGCCACTTTTGGAACTTTTTTACATTTTTAAGGAAAAAAATGATATTTACATAATTTTTCCTCAAGCATTTGTGTAATTCTCTAAAGTATACCCTTTGATGATTTTACATATACATATTCCTTTCATCTTCTAATAGCAGGTTTGTTTATCTCCTCATTCAATCAGAGTATTTTAGATGAATATTGAAACAATTATTGGCTTTTTAAAACTCATGTAATCAACAGCTGGGTATGGCTATAAATGATATACATATTTCATCACTTTTAAAATATACTCATTCTTTATAGCAAATTTCATACAGATGGCTCTTTAGATGACTTTTGAAACATAATTTATATTTATAAATAAAGGTGGCTTACCTCTGCTACATTATAAAGAAAGCTTATTACCAATTTTTAAACTTTGGAAATGTGGAAGGCATTTCTATTTACTGTTGGTACTCTTCTCCCAATGACCTCACAACTAGAGAGCAAAATAATTTCACTCATAGACTCTCATTTTTGGTGTACAGTATTTCCCAGAACCTAATTTGGAGCAGAACAGAAGGACAAAGGGACATGGCATACTCTCTTAAGTATTTCTTTGTTCTTTTTTTCTTCCTTGCTCTTCCTTCCTTCCTTCCTTCCTTCCTTCCTTCCTTCCTTCCTTCCTTCCTTTCTTTTCCTGTGGAACTGTAGCTTCTACCTTAGGTTTGAATACTTTCCTCCACATCTGTTTATGTCGAAAGGTGTCAGGGTTAATAAACACAGGGTGTGAGGAAGTTGCACTCTTTTTAAATGTAAGAGCAAAGGCCATTTTATCTCTAGTTCCTGACTTAGTACCTACCACAAAGCAGGTGCTCAAAAAATACAGATTAAGTGATACTGAATGAATGAATACAGTGCTATCTTGTTAGGTGAAAATAAAAAGAAGAGTAGAGAGGAAGAAATGTCTCTTCATCTTTAGGGATGCATAAATGTATTCTGAAGACAGAAAAGAAAATCTGATAACTTAGTACTTGACAGTCACAAAGAAAGGATATCGGTAAATTTTTCATCAAGGAATCAGTGTCACAATCTGATTAGAGACCCTATACCTGGGGTGAGCTCAGACACAGAAGTTCAGGAGCGTTCACTGAATCTAGACACACACTCCTTGTGAACCAATGAAAACCTTGTGTTCACCCTGTAGCCTCAGTCGATCTATGCAGAGAGCTCCAGGTTCAACCAAAAACACAGGAAAGGCCTCGCATTATCAATAATAGTCTACTGATCATAGTGGGATTACCTGGTACTGATGATTGCTTAGAATAAACAACACACTACAGTCCAATAAAATATATCTATGCACAAACACCATTAGGAGCTCTTGCTGCCTTTAAAGAAAGTATCATCCTGCAATCTAGCCTTCTTCATAGTCTTTATAGAAGAGAGTGGCCATCTGAAACTGGAAAAAGGATGATTAGGATAGATTTGACCAGGCTCTTCAGAAAATAGAAAAACAACCGACCTTCTTGATCCCGCCTGACTCAGCATTTGCTTAGTCTGATGCATTTACATACGTTCTGTGCAGGCTGTCTTTCCAACTCCATAATAAAAAATGTGGCAAGATGGGATACACGACATGTTTCATGCATTTTAATGTCCTAATATTTGTTAACTTGGGATGAAATATAAAATATATCTGGTCTCAGCACCCTATTAAGTGGAATGCTTTGGCCATCTGTTCATGTCTTATCTTAGTCATTCACTTCTGCTTTTAATTGTAACTGCTACTTTTATGCTGATGGCATGAATCCTGAGGCCCAGTTTAATGCCTCTCTCAGTCCTCCTGATGCTTGGCTCATTTCAAATGATGGCTTAATCTCAATTGCTTTTAAACTTATGTTTAAACTCTCAGGGTTGATCTAAATGTATTCAATGTTTTCTTGAATAATACAAGTGCACTTTCTTTTTTCTTTTTCTTCTTTTTTTTTTTTTTTTTTTTTTTAGCAGTTTTTTCTATTAGGCGCGCTCTCCAGAGAGAAACAGAGAGACAGAAAGCAAGAAATCACCCCCCCCGGGGGGATGACCATGCCACAATCCCCTCTCCTTCATTCTCCTCTTGGGATCTTGGGCACGCACGCACACACTCCCAGTGTGAGTTCAAGCCACCGGGTCCAGGACTCGAACCACAATTGACTACATGGGAGTCCAACAACATAGCCATTACGCTAACTGCTGGTCCCTACAATTGCACTGTCTATATCTTATTTTTTGCTTCCTTTTTCACAATGGCTAACCAAGTTTATAGTCTGGACCCCATGAAGGTATAATTTTTCTTTCATGTCTTACTGTCTCAATTCTACCATAATTGAAGTTTTCAATATTATTCTTTTGTACATTACACTTTTGCTTTTGCATTGCTACCTACTCTGTTTAATTAAATAATTTGTTGACACATTCAATTTCTGTTTACCCAAGCCCAGGAGTTTCAGTCAACATAATTACATCCAGGGCTTTAGGACCTGCCGATAGCAAAACGTTGAAGTAGGGTAAACTTGTCTTGGAGCTTTCTCCTACAGAATTCCTCTCTTCTCTCCTCCTTTTCCTCCTCTCTCCTTCTTCCCAACCTGCAAAATGATCATCCATTTTGGCTCTTCTCATCCATTCCTTATTTTAAGTATAATATTTTCCCCATTGTCCTTATACTTAATTGTAAATCTATTATCTCTACATAGTTAAAAAATACATGAAATTAGAAAAGGTCCAATCCTACTAAGATATTAATAAATAAGAATACTGTCAGTTCTCAAGCACTTGAATTAGCTCAACTCTTGAACAGAAAGTACTTAATGAGCACTAACATTGTTCAAGGCCCGTGGTAGGTGCCAGGCATAGGAGGAGAAATAAGACAGCCGTTCCTGAATCCCCAGTGTGGAGTCTGGCAGGGAAATCAGACATGGAAAGTCACAGTATCATGTGGTGAGTTCTGAAGCAGTAAGTGGATGGGCTTCAGGAGCATGGATGACGGCAACTGCTCCCCGCTCTCCTCCCTTCATGTACATACTCTTTGTTTTCTTTCTGAAGTAGGTGTTGTTGCATAATAATAATTTCAACTACATCAGTTACTGAGCATCTATAACTCTAGCAAGCAAATTCAATTCACACTATATTAAATTATCATTTTGTCAGGATTTTGGTGACTAGTAATTGCTGTTATTGAGACAAGACCATATGCTAGGGATTGATCTAGCTATATTTCATTTATAAACTCATCTAAACTCTCATATAAGTTGATACCTATATTCTCATTTTACAGATGATAAGACTAAGATATAGAAAGATGAAATTATTTATTCAGTGTCAGGTCAGCAGCTAGCGTTAGGCATCATTTTATTCTACTCAGTTTGACTCTAGAGCAGTGCTGTCTAAAACAATTTTCTATGAAGATCAAAAATGTTCAATATCGGGAACCAGCAGTTAGCGTAATGGCTGTGTCACTGGACTCCCACGTAGTCGACAGCAGTTCGTGTCCCGGACCCGGTGGCTTAGAACGCACGCTGGGCGCGTGTGCATGCGTGCCCAAGATCCCAAGAGGAGAATGGAGGAGAAGGGATTGCGGTGTGACCATCCCCCCTGGGGGGTGATTTCTCGCTTTCTGTCTCTATGTCTCTGTCTGTCTGGCAAGCACACGCTCCCTATAGCGAAAACCTCTAAAAAAAATATGTTCAATATCTATGCTGCCTGATACAGCAGCCTCTAGCTACATGTGACTGCTGAGGACTTGAAATGGGGCTATTTGGAACTAAGAAACTAAATGTTTTATTTTATTTTATTTTAATTGATCTTAATGACTATAGCTCCTAACCTATAGGCCAACTTCTGGCCACTACGCTTTAATCTTCTCGAGGGCATGGTAATAGTGAGGTGAAAAAGAAGGGCCACTCTGAGCAAAGTCACCTGGTACAATTTTCCATTAGAGATGTTTGAAAAGGCTGTTCTAGAAAATACTTCAGGACCCAAAGGGATAAAAACTTTCAATGTGGAATGATTAGTATGAGATTCAAATTTAAAGGGTGGTGTCTTCTGCCAGTGATCTCTCACCCAAGAGCTATCTGCCAGCAGAAAGCACAACCTAACTTTATCCTTGATCCTTCTGACTCTCTTGAGAAAGGGTGGTAAAGCTCTGAAATCAGACCTAACAATAGATTTTATTTCATTTGTTTAAGAGAGATTTTTACTACAGGGCACATGTGTTCACCAGAGACAGAGAGACAGAAAGTGAGAAATCATCCCCTGAGGGGGGTGGCCATACTGCAATCCCTTCTCCTCCATTCTCTTCTTGGGAGTTTAGGACACACACGCACACACACCCAGCACAAGTTTTAAGCCACCGAGTCTGGGACTCAAACCATGGTCAACTACATGGGAGTCCAGCAACATAACCATTATGCCATCTGCTGGTCTCTTAACAATAGAACTTAAATGCTGTACTTTATTTTAAGTTCTGTGAATCTCAGACAACCAGAGACAAATCCTAAATACAGTTTAAGGAGAAGGAAGAGGCTCCTGACATGAGCACAATAATCATTTCAACAGTATCCATTACTGAACATCTATCAGTCTAGCAAGTGACTTCAATTCAAATTACATTAAATTATCATTTTGTCTCTGCAACTTTGTAAGGTGGGGAGTATTGATTTCATTTTGAAAATGGAAACATAAAGGCACAGGGAGCTTATGGAGCTTGTCCAAGATCACATGTATGAAAGAAGAGGAACCATGATTTGAGCTCCTACCTTAGAAAACTGGACCCAGACTCTGTTTTTTCCTTACGCATTGTCTTTCTGCTAAAACTGCCTCACAAAGCATCTGACATCTAGGTGCTCAATTCCATCTTCTTGTTCCAGCTTCAATACCTGTCACCTAGGTCATTCACGAAAACTAGTAGGAGACATTGAGAAGATGACCTGAGAGTGCTAGTTTCCCTTTACAGCTCGTCTTCTTCAGTACTACTGGGTCAATCTCCCTGTTACAGTGTTTCATCTGAGTCACTTGAAATTCCTAAAGAGTGCTGGTAGGATCAGGCATAAATGCCCCAGTCTGTCACAGAAGTAATCTGATTTCACCAATTACTAGAGATCCATTTGGTAGCATGTGCCCATGTAAACATCTCCATTGCTATCCAGCTCGCTCGCTCACCACCATCAAGGCATGGGCAGATCCTTTGCCCATGTTCTTTAGTCTGGAGTTCTTTTATTCCCCTCCACCTATCCAAAGGAATGGGCAATGTCCAGATCAAATCCATTCCTCCATAAAGCTCTCCTGACTACTCTAGCACCCCCATCTCTCTAGGGTAGCCCCAATCACCAGTTAAGGTCTCTGCCACACATTTTGATACTTAATCATATATCATGCTATTATCAGGTTCTTTCACGCATATATTGTTTGACTCTCCAATAAGATAATATGTTTAAGGGCAGTAACACTTTTTTTTTAAATCACTTCCAGAGCTACAGAGACTAACTGGTATCCATTTGGTAATTAGAGAATATTACTAAGGCATATCCAGTGATCGAGAGGGTAGGCTATCTGCAACCTCTCATTCATTTCTTCCTCATTCAACTGTGATCTCTTCCTGGTAGGGTCCATTCATTCACTGTTTTCACACTTTCCCAATTGTCCTCAGTGTCTTCTCTAGCATCTTCAGTGATGTTCAGTAAGTTCCTGTTAGATAATATATCTATAAAATTGTGTGCCAGGCACTGTATAAAATGATGAGTATGGATCATCTCATTTAATCCTCACAGGCAGGTGTAGTAGGTCCCCGGCATGTTGTCCAGATCTTTTCTGGAGAACTCCGGCTCTCATTCTCTCAGCTTGTAGCAGTGTTGCTAAGTGTGTTATTCTCTAGAGATATTGTCCTCGGCTGTCACCCAAGGTCATGCTTCCTTGTCTGGTTGGCCAGAGCAAGGGTTTAAAGGCCCAGCCACCTCAAGGTAGGTGCCTCTGAAGGGCCATCTTAGCTCCTGGGTGCCTCAGGGACCAGCAAAGAGCTTTTAAGACATCGTATTAAAGAACTTTATAAAGTCTTAAAAGCTTCACACCTCCCTTTGCCCAGTCCTGCCTCTGTCACTCTCCCAGCGATGTGGCTACCAGGGCATTTTTTGCAATAACCCTTACATACAAATCCCCATCTGTAGATCTGTTTCCCAGGAAACCATCCTAACGCAGTACGCATTACTAGTATCATTATCCCATGATATAGATGTGAAAAGAGAGGCTTAGAGAATTAAGTAATTTGAAATTTAAACAAAGAGCGTAAAAGAGATGCAAACCAGAGTAGATCATCCACCCCTACATTCTTCCTCACCATGTGTGCTGCCTTAAAAGCGAACATATATACAAATAAACAAACTCACTACGTTTGTGTTTTGAAGTGCTTCTCAACTGGAGTTACTGGTGCCTTTGGTGCCTTCCATGGCAAGGCAGCAGGAAATGGACAAAATCTGTGGTATTTGCTCAGGAGAGAACAACAGAATCTAGGACTTCTGGATATGCTGGGACGCTCCATCCCCTTCCATACCGTCCTTCGGGATCACTAGGACTTCACACAGGCCTTATCTCTGAAACACCTTTTAAAAATCCAAGATAAGAAACTATGGGAAAGAAGACTGAGGTCAGAGTATTTACACAAAAACAGATTTGTTGGTAGGACGGTGATGAGCCATTTTCTGATTAACCTGACTAAACATAGGACATGATTATGAATGTACTCATGCAGTTATCTAGAATAAACATGCCAAATAACTTCCTGATGAGGAAGAAAGATTGTGAGTGATTTTTAAGCTCAGTTGTTAATGTGGAATCTCTTCCTCTAAAGGAAAATAAAAATAATCCAGAAGCCAATAAAATATTTCAAGGATAACATGAAACAGCAAGAATGTACACAAAGTTCTAGAAATTCCGTGTGTGTAGAAGTTCCACCTAGCCCCCTTAAAGATGTAGAACTATATCAAAAGGACTCGTGAAAGTGTCTGCATTGGTAATCTGGATTATTTCAGAAGGTACACAATAGGTTCATAACTGTCAAGATCCTTGTGCCTCAGGGAACCAGCAGTTAGCTTAATGGCTATGTCACTGGACTCCCACGTAGTCGACCATTGTTCGTGTCCCGGACCCAATGGCTTAAAACTCACGCTATGCGCATGTGCGTGCGTACCCAAGATCCCGAGAGGAGAATGGAGGAGAAGGGATTGCGGTGTTACCGTCCCCCCTGGGGGGTGATTTCTCACTTTCTGTCTCTATGGCTCTCTCTGTCTGGCGAGTGCACGTGCCCTATAGTGAAAATCTCTCCCAATAAAAGGATCCTTGTGCCTCAGACCAGCTTTATAGTGCACTGGTAATACACCACTTAAGAGAAGCTAGATTGTAGATGGTGACCATGGTTCAAATCCCCAGCCTGGTTGGCCTAAAACATGCTGAGCAGGCATGAGTACACAGATATGATAGGCTGGAGGACTGGAGAAACGAGATGGTCATGTGACCAGACCCTGTGGAGAGTGGTCCTCTCTCTCTCTCATTCTCTCTCACATGCACGTGTACTCAATCATAAATTTAAAAAAATTTTTTGAAGATATTTGTGCCTCGAAAAACTGAGTTCTATAAATAATTTGGATCAAAAAACAAAAACAGAGTGTAGCAACAGGTCTCTCTTTTCCGTCTTTGTTTTTTTAACTTATTCTGACTCTGTTAGTGTTTATGGACAGGAGGGAAACATTTAATGTAATATAACACATCTGCATTTACATCTTACAAATATAGTTTTAGAAGGGGACAGAAAATCATGTGACCCTAAAATATTAATAACTAAAAGCAAATTCTGTCATTTATTTTTCCAAGCTTGTGTTTGAGAGAAGAAAAGAGAGAGCAAGATATCAAATATGAGAGAGAGCCTTTTCTGAAAACTAATTTTTGCAGCTTAACATTTTATTTTGACATACGTTCTACCACAATTCTGCAGTAATTTGGACAAAATATACATCTGACAGAGAAGGAAGGTGGTTAGCACCTCTTGGCTAAGTACCTTCAAAAGAGGAAAGAAAGACTTAGCTGACTATGAAGTGCAAATAGAGCAATACTTATTCCTACCAACATTGGTGCCCATTTTGAATGTACATACATTTCTTTTATATCATGCCTTAATGTATCTTTTTTTTCCCTTAAAACATGTTGTGACTTCAAGTTTAAAAAATACGTATGTTGGCCCATGTCATATTCAACAGATATTTATTACCTCTTACATGCCAACCACTGTACTAAAAGGTAAACAGACCTTCATTCTAGTCATGGCCTAAAAATATAAACCCTGGAGAAGCTATTTAAGCTCTTTCCATCTCTGTTTTCAGGCCTCCAAAATAAGACCAGATCATGTGTCTCAAAGCTTACAGGGTCAAGCAAATAGCATAAGTGGACTTGAAATTTAGACACTTCATTGGAGTATTAACCAAAAATGCATACTCTTCACTTCCACCAAAAAAAAAAAACAAAAAAACTTGCTCTACTTTTTTTTTCTTAACAGAAAGCCCTCTCACTTTATATTTTGTTTTTCTATTTCTGACGTCAGAAAGATTTTTCTTTCTTCTTAACTCTACAGCAAGAGAATGAGAATGCAAACACATTTAATCAGCATTAGCTGACGGTTGGCCACACTACTGCCAGGTCATAAGGGAATGCCAGGATGGCATCATCTCAGAGGCCTCAACCCCATCGATGAGAAGTCGCTGATGTTCACTCTGGCTGGAGGCTCCCATGCTCAAATATACACTCAGTGCTGCCTAATATTCCAGAGCTTCAAGAGAAGACCAGCATACAGATTTGTTATTTGAAAAACATCCACTTAAAACTTTGGCAAAAAATTCAAAAAGTTATAAGAACTTAAACATGGGATCATGAATGTGGAATGCAAACAACATACAATTGGGGCCAGCTTCAGCCTTGGAGCTGTCAGTTTGAGCCTGTGAGACTAGTTGATTTCTAAGGTCTCTCTCTACCTAAATAGTTCTATGATTTTCATTAGGAGACCCTGAGGTTTGGGTCACAAGGGCATGGATCCAATTAAAATCACAACTACACTTCCAGAAGAAAGAGTCTCAATGTTAGACGTATCCTGAAAAGTGAACAGTCCTAAGAGAACCCATTCATTACATTTAATGAACTAGCAGGTAACAAGAAGCTAGAAGGAAGACCATTAAATCTAACTCAGGAAATGTATTCATTTAGGTGCTGCTTATAATTCTCTTCAGACCTATGAAATAACAGACCTTTGATATTTGATATTGTTCATATTGATTGAAAGTGGTTTAAGTTTTCTGAAATGGAAGGATCTCTTCCTTGTCACATTGATCAAATTATTACATCATCAGCACCCACAGAGTCCCACGTCAGAGACAAAGTGCAAAGCAGGTCTTTCAGAGCACTCTCTCAGCCCTAGTAGAGTCCACACCATTGGTTCGGCAGACACGTGTCTTCCAGTACAGCATGTATTCCCCATCAAGCCAGCTTAAGGAATCTCGACATGATCACTGGTACTTAGCTACTGAGTTCCAGAGACTATGAATGCACATCTTGCCATGGCACTTATTAGTTGTGTGACTTTGGACACATTCCTTAAACTGTATGGGCTCATTTTTTCACTGGAAAACAGGAATTGTTGTGAGGATTGATTGAAGTACTATATGTAGTACTCATTTTTTCACTGGAAAACAGGAATTGTGAGGATTGATTGAAGTACTATATGTAGTCCAGCCTCTGTGGTGCAGTCAGTAACATACTAGACTGGGAAGCTGACTGCAGTTTAAGTCCCCGGCCTGGCTGGGCTAAAACTCACAGGCATGCCTAGGAGTCATGTGGGTGGGAGGACTGAAGGACAGGGATCACTTTTGACCAACCCCTGTGAAGTATGGTTCTCTCTCTTCCCTTCTCTCTCTCTCATGTGTGCATATGCATTCTATCATGATTTTAAAAAATACATTATATGCAAAAGGCTGACATAAGATATAGATATAGATATAGATATAGATATAGATACTTAGTAAATGATGATCGAATGAAAGACTCTGAGCAATTAATTGGGTTCTTTGAAAAGACTCCAGAAAATCTAGGACAGAGTTCCTTATGAGAATATCCTAAGACTGTAGGGGGTTGCACCAGTGAAGGAGAAAGGCTGGAGTTAGAGTTTGTACATACAAAATTACGCATGACTAAATGCTTGTCTTATCTCTGCAAAAACAAGTCAGTCCGAATCTAAATTAACCTATGGAGGTGTTAGATATATGAACAGATAATCTAGTCGTAAAAGATTCTGGGAAAATACTTTTCACATTTTCAGAAATAAAATTCTTTATTATTTGCGCAGTGCACCATACCTCAGATGGTTACTTAAGTCCAACTGAAAAAGAGTCCACTTGATTCTATCTAAGGAGAGAAATGAAAGCAGTCTCAATTTAGCTAAGAAATTGCAAGACTGGAAACTCATGCTGTCCAAACTCGGATTGTGCCAAGAATTTAATACAGTTTATGAAAATGTCAGAAACTGCCTCTGTCCCAGCCATTGTAACCTCAGGAGATCCTTTCCATGGATAACTCCATAAATTCTTCCCAGGTGGTCAGCTTCTAGACCACCATAATCCTTTAATAGATAAAACAAGACACAAAGACATTATCAACAGTAAAACTAAAGTTTAGAAGAAAGGTTTTGGTTGGTGAATCTCTTGACTTTGGGGAGGGGCATGGGAGGGGAGGATAAAACTTCAGATCTTCTGCGTTAGTGTTAATATCTGGGATCTAGTTGTTTTCACTAGGTAAGTATCCTTTCAGTACTGCATCTGGTTCTTCCAAGACTTAAATCTAACCTTCAGCCTGTATTGCACCTTCTCCAGCCTAAAAGATGGTGCACAGATTGCCTGAGATATAGACTAACAGCTGTGTTTTTTCTGGCAATTCAAATGCTTTGAATATAGGTCTTGGCAGTTGAAATGCTAGCCTGCAAACGGCACTGAAATTCTTTGAGAATTTATCAATTTGTGTTTAGGGACTTTTCAAATGGAAAAGCAAAGTTATTCATGTTTTCACAGGCAGTTCCAAATTCCAAACTGTGTCAAGGGTAAAATGTTTCTGTGTTTGAAAGGCCAAGGCAGAATTACGTAACCCAGATGAGGATAATATAATGCTACCCCAAAAACAAATTATAGGGCTTTAAAGATTTGCTATTCTAATTCTGTAACTTTACGCAATCAGAAGTGGTTCTTTCTTACCCCTTAGGGAAACTGAATTTGGTTTTCATTATAAACCTGTAAGGCCCAGAGATTAGAATTTAAATAGTTAACCATAAAGAAAGAGT